AGATATTTATGAGTATTATATTTGAGGTGGGCCTCACATTGCGTTCTTATTTAAATAGTTCCTTTGACCCCGATCGACGAACGGACAAGACGGGAATAAGAGCTTCTTCGCTTTTGCCTGCGCTGTCGTCGGCCTATCCTCTTCTTAACCTTATAGGTTGCCCGTCGTATGTTCCAATGGCTGTCTCTACCAGTATATTCTTGGAAGTTTGACTTGTGGTCGGAATTTCTTGGTGGTTTGTATGCGTCCGATGTTTGCCGTGCTATCCTGTATTGTTGACAGGGTAGGATTTTCTAGTGTGGACGCTTTTGTCTGTGATTTATAAAAAAACTACTTCCACATTTTCAGTAGGTCGAATTTCCGCCTATACAAACAATAGGAGTTGTTCTAATATTGTTATTGGTCTATATGCATCCTTTTTTGACCAATAGGAATTTATGTTGGTCGGTTTTGTTCTTTCCGCGTGCTTTTCACATATATTTTTAGTTAAGTAAAACAGTTCCAAGCGGTTTTATCTTATTTCCTACTGTGCATTTGTCACGCATTAAATACGCCCTAATCAGGCATTAAACCCTTAACCACGATTTCCATTAGAAACTTGGACGGAGGAACTTTTACCATTAGACGGCTTCACAAGAAAGCCCTACCGTCGACAGTGGAAGACAGCTCTAAGTGTTGCTTTTGCTTTAGATGGGCAAGGACGGATTACTGCTGAGTGGTTGCAATCTGAATAGAGATCGACCAGGTATGAAGGGCCCAAGAGTGAAGTTGTAGCAGGCAAAAAAGTCTTGGAATTGGGTAGTTGGCAGCGACATACTGGGAACCGAGTTTTACCTGCGCTGTATAAAACGCCCCCGTCCATTGGGCTCCCCATTCAGCGCGTAACAAAACTCCCGCACGAGCGGACAATTCATAAGGGAGTGGTGATCAGAAGTATGCAATCAAAGTTCGCTAACCGCCCAACTTTTGCCGAGTCATCAGTAAGATACGGAAGTAGGAAGCCTCCGCCCTGCATTGATAGAGGTGGCATTGTGCAAAATTCCAGGAAGGGTAAATATTATCGGTTCATAACCCTAACCTTAACAATGACCCTAATCTCCCAAGAAGCTAGGGCAAGGCCTCTGGAATGGAGGGGGGCGGGGGAGATGCCTTCATACTCTCGTGTTTTACCGAGATTTGCGCACTCGGTAGTCTCCACGATGCAACTCCTTGTTTGAATGTGATTGTGGGTTACTGTACACCAACATAAAACCAACCGAATAGGTCGTGCGTAACCTTTCGACCAGCGATGAGAGATGTTTCTTTGAAGTAAACGATACCAATCAAGTGCTAATTTCATATTATCATAAAAAAATGTCTTTACCCTAAGTTCATGCTAATCCAGTGTTGTTGTTTTAGCGCGCAATTTCAGCCATCGCATCCACCACTTGTCTTTTGGTACTCCAATCAAGAACTACGTGAATCCCCTGGACTCAGAAGAAGTCATCTCTCATGACTGTAGGTTTTGCTTTCGGCACCCATTCCTCCTTTTCTGTTTGATGGTCATGGAAGCTCCTCCCGTTGAGGCAAACTTTCAGAGAATAATTTTCAGCTCTTTACCGAAAACCACGGACTACACTTTTTTGAAACTTAACTCGGCAATTTATTGTAATCAATAAACCACTAAAATCGGTTTATAACTGAATACCCGGTTTCTACAAGACTTATCTGTACCCAACTCTGACTTATTCATGGTTGTAACAAGCAGCGGAAATGTCAAACTCTTATGTGTAGTTGTGGGAAGAGTTTGAACTGCTGACCCACTTGAATATATGCGTACAGTGCGTTGTTGACGGACCTGAACATAGGCTGTCCATTGATCGATGGAACACTAGAAATCCTCTTGGTCCCCACTCACCATTGCACAACAGCTATACTCGGAGACAGAACGAGACCCCAATGAATACTCCTGCCCCGTAATTTAGTCTCACACTACGGGCTTTTTTAAACGCAGTCTAAAGTTGCAAAAATTCCCATCGGAGAATTCAGAAGAGTATCTGGCAAGCATACGTAGCTTTCGATAAATTCTACTCGAGC